CTTTTATTGTTCTCCGCTCCGCTTTTAACGCTCCTCTCCTCCCCCCCCCCCCTCTTCCTCCTCCTTCTCGTTAAAACCGTATCCCTTTGATACGCGGCGCTCGATGTCCAGCCAGCGTTAAGTGACTTACGACGTTTTCACCGTGGCCTGACGGAAATAGCGTTATGGCGAGCGGCAAGAAAACGAGGCGGTGGGTAGGGTAGAAGGGGAAGGAATATAGGGAAAAGGACAAGAAGCGTTACGCGGGAAAGGAAGAGGAGGCGTGAGAACGAAAGGGAAGAGAACGAGAAGAGTGGGGGAAAAAAGGCGAGACACGATTGGAACGAATGCCGAGTTGGTCGGTAAAGAAGGAGAGGAGAACGGAGAGAAATGTTCGTTTTCTAGGGACGGAGGACAGGTGCATGCCTCGTCTTCTATTTTGGCGAATAAGCAGCAGCACGACGGGAAATGTTTCGTCCAACCTCGTGCGTATAAAATCGCGACATTCCATCGTTCCGCTCCTTTTGGTCCCCGTTTAGCTCGTTCCCTCGTTGGCGCAGGCGCACGCGCGAAGGAGATGAGAGGAACGAGAGTCGAGCGATCGTCGCGCCTTCGCTTCTCCTTCTCGCCTTTTCTTCCTTCCTTCCTTCCTTCCTTCCTTCCTTCCATCCGACCTCGCGCGCCCACCACAATTGCATAACGTTCCGTTTCGTATCCACGGGAGCGAAAACCGTCGTCTTGAACTCGTTTCGTTTATCTCCTCCGCGGCCGAGGCGGAGTTTGACGAGCGGGAGAGAGAGGTGGGGGGGAGATTTTCGGTTGGAAATCGTTGGTTTCGAACAGTGGTGGGTCGGTGCCATTCCCTGCCTGCCTGCCGCGGGAACAATAATAAATTCCTTCCTAGCTATAGGTCCAATTTAGTCACGGTGACGAGACACGTAACTAGAACGCGAGAAGAATGCCAATATCTGCCGAAAAAACTCGAAGAATTCGGGAACGTGGAATTCTTGGCGCCGTTAGACGAGGAGAAGGGGGGAACGTCACGCGGCCGTCCTCGTTGCATACCCGCCCTCTTTTTCTCCCCGAGAAAACCTTTCTTTTTTTTCTTTCTTTTCTTATTTTTCTTTTTGCGTTTCGCATAAACATCTTGTAATAATTTTAAATTTATATAAACGCGTACGATTCTCTCTTATTTTATTTAAAGAGAAGCGAAAATTGGCAACCTCGTTTGAAAACCTCGTATTTTACTATCTTTGTTGAATGGTGAAGTTAATGGCGAACGTATTGCAACTTCATTTGCAATCTTTTTTCGATCAACTTGAAAGTTGAAATAACTCGATTACTATTATTTTTTAATCACTATTATTTTCTTGAAACCTCTAAAAGAACATTAACACGTTTCTACAATTTCTCTCGATCTTTGCTCGTGCTAAATAATTTGACTCGATTCGGAAAGAAAGAATCCGCGATCCCCGCCGCATTGAAATTCAATTCTCCCAGAATTCTTTCCGACATTCCGGAGAGAATTTCGTTCGACCTTCGAACGATATCGTTACAACGCTACTTATCTCGCCAAGCTTTCGCTCTGTTTCTTGAAGCAGAAGTAGGGGAAGAAAAACACGAGTGGAATCGCGACACGCGCGAAACGAAACGAGCTTCAGATTTATCGACGCATTAGCGTTCTGCTTCGACCGGCCCGCTTTGATTTCGTCATTGTTTCCTCGCTAAACACACCATCTTACCTCCCTTTCGAAAAGAAAAAGGAGAATCAAATCCTCGAAACCATTTGTATTTCTCCGAAAAAGGGAAGTGGATCCACGTTTCGAAGACGTTGGAGACTCTCTGTCGTGTATTAAACGAATGTTTCCTATTAAATACGAGGCCTGTCGTAATTAGATGGCGGGCCGTGTGATTCCATATGGGGCATCGAGAGAGCGGTTTGGGGTGACTGACGTCGGACTGCCGGAAAAGCCTGGAGCCCCGTGAATCATGGTGGCCACGCGAAAACACCATAAAAATAATACGGCTGTGTCACGATACGCATGACTCATCTCCGCAACTGGATGGATCTCTCACTTGCCAAAATTCGATCGATAAGCCCGTTCTCGTCGGATGGGGGCGCCCACCCTTAACGTCTCGAAGAACCCCTCCTCCTCCTCCTCCCTCCTCCCCCCTCCTCCCCCCCTCCCCCGTGAGAGACTCGAACATTTTCGAAAGTTTTCCACTTCTTTGGTAATTCATCTCATCTCGAATAGACTTTCGTCGATAAAATGTGAAATATAAGCTGTATATTAACGCAACGGGACGAATAAATATTTGACGAACCGCGTCGTTCGGATTGATATCGATCGGAGGAGGGGGAGCTCTCCCTGCCCCGTTTAGTCATCGCATCGTTTGCTCAACGTGCGTAAGTTTCAATGAGTCACTGATAACCAGAAACCAGTGTTCATTGTACCAGGTAGGTAATAAAAATGATGTACGTGTACATCGATAACTCGAGTTGCAAAATTAGGTTGCGAATCCAAAAATATACGAGAAATACACCCGAGATCGAAATATCGATAATATAAAATTAGGTGTCTCGAGGCCTCTCCAACGAAATCTCATCAAGATTCCTCTAGCTGTCCAGCTTTCTAGGCCGGAAGTATCATATTCAAGGCCCGCATGCCACGATCTATTTGTCTCTATGGTTCAGAAAATTCAAGGATACTCTCGTCGCGTCGATTTTTTAATCGACGTCGATTGAAAAATATGGAAAAAAGTTGTGGTGACGCGTTAATCCCCCCCCCCCACCCCCACCCCGATTTTGATGATAACTTTATTCGAGTCGAGGGGGGAGGGGGAGGGGGAACGACACCACCTATAATAAATTACTCGACAATTACTGCTCCTCTATAATTCCGTTATTTATGGGAGAGACTTTGCCCAGCCGAGGGATACAGGCAATATTACAGACGATATCGATCCGTATCTTTTCTCTCGAAAGGGGGATGATGACGGGGCAGCTGCTTGACGACCAAATTTTCATCCCTCATTCCCGTGAGACGAGGAGCACGCGAGACTCGACCCTTTTATCAAGGTCGTTTTTTTCATTGCTAATTGAATCGCGAACCATTTCCACTTCGAGTCGAATCGAATCGAATCACGTCTCTATAGAAAAGAGAGAGAAAGGCGACAAAGTGGTGGGATTGTTTAGGACAGATCCGTGCATTTCGTTTATTTTTTTTTTCCACTCGTCGAGGAATCGCGGGTTCTCGCGGTGTAGGCATTCAACGCGAGGGAAACGCGCGGCATCCGAAAATAGACGCGGCGACATTAGAAACACTGTGCGCCTCTCTCCCTCGTTCCAAACAACCCTCGCCTCGCTTTAATTACGAAAAGAGAGGCGAGCGTAAATATACAAAGCTCGGCCAACAAAGCTCCGTTTCCGATCGAAATCGTTCGATTTTTCGAATCCACGCGTAAACGTATATCCTCCTCCTCCTCCTCCACGAACGTTTATTTTCTTACGCGCAGATCGAGGGGAGAGTGGAAAGGAAAATTGATAGAAGAAAGACGAGGGGCGAGCGAAGCGATTCATCAAGCCGGACGAAACTCGTTCGAGCGAAGAGATTCCACCCCTCCTACACGCCGTGGTAATCGCCCAGGCGAACTTCCAAAGTCGACCGGAGCGAGAGAGAGAAGTGGAGAGGTTCGCATCGAAGCGGAACGCATGCGTTTCCACCCTTAAAAACATGCACACGCACCGATATTTTCCATATTCGCGCGACCTTCAAACAAACTTCCCCTCCCCCCCAATTTCGAATCGATGCCAACAACCGAACGATCGAGTTTCGATCGAGTTTGGAACGGAAACGGGCATATAATTCTCGTTCGAATTATTTAACGAGGAGTGGCAAGGAATTGAGAGAGAGAGAGAGGAGGGGGAGAGGCACACGGTCCGATTTAGCGCGAGTCATTAGCGCGAGTGCATCTTCACGGTGGCGCATACTCGTGGAAGACGTGGGATATTAGGAAAGGAGCGGTGTGCGTGTGCGTGTCCTCGGGTTAAATGGACGTGTGCCGCGCGAGGAGGGTGCACGGGTGGGGGCAACTACACGCGTGTCGTCGTCGGTTTTGGTTTTAGTTCCGTGGCAGTCGTTGCCGGCGACCGCCATCTCCAACGGACGTGTCTTCGAGAACGCTCTTTCCTTCTTTTTTCTCTCTCTCTCCCCTTGCCTTCCTTCGAGTTCCGGCCAAGACTCGCATACCTCTCTGTTCTCGTCGTGCAACGTTCGACGTTCCGTGAAATTTTCCCCCGGATACCATTAGCGTGTTTGGTGTTGTCATTATAATGATGATAATCGCGTTTGACGATCCAGCTGCGTCGTCGAAAGGGAAAGAATGAACTCCACCTGATCTCTGGTTCGGATCTAATTTGAACCGCGGGAAAAAGTATCCGTCCAAGAATAACGAGCGCGAGTAAAAAAGGGAGAAGCCTGGGCGAGCTGTTTTGCAGGCTCGAAGATCAAAGTTACGGAAGAAAAGAGAGAGGAAGAGAACGATCGGAGAAAAAATTTTTTGGCAACAAAGCGAAAGGAGTTTGAAAGGATGCGAGGGAGGAGCGTGGGAGGAAGGAGCGCCCGCTTCTGAAAAGGGACAAAGGGGGAGAAAAACGTCGGCTCGTTTTCTTAATCAAAAGATTTCGGCTCGCCACGACGCGTTCCGACTAATAACGAGCACGTGTTGCCGGTCCTCGCGTTCCAACGTTCGAAACATTCCGTGGAAAACATTTCGAAGCGAAGTGTGTGTACGTAGCGCTTCCATATCGATCCGTGCGAGAATGTGTGCGGCCGTGGCGGCGTGGATCGAGGAGAGGGCGGGCGCGAGGAAGGACGAGAGGAACGGTATACGTTCGAGATACGAGTTACGGTCGTCGAGAAGGTGTCGCGGTTGATCGGCCGAGGAGGAGAAGGACTCGAGCAGGATCGGATGTCTGTGAAGGTGTCGATCGTTGGTGGTGGTGGTGGTGGTGATGGTGGTGGTGGTGGCTCGAACGACACCTGATCCAAGGCTCGAGATGCGGCGCACGTCGGGACACGTGTTCCTCGCGAGTTTGCTGATACTGCTTCGCGCGCGGCGAGCGGACGCAGTCGCCGAGGATCCCCCCGAATTCTCGAACAGAGGTACGTCTCTCTCTCCGTTCCCTTTTCTCCCTACGAAACGAAATTAGCTAGGAAACACTCTGGTCGATCGCGAGAACGAAAGGAAGGAATACGAAAGTTTGATCGAGCTCGATCCCTCTGCTCGAGTAACTGGAGGAGGAATGGTGGAGGTGGCGCGGCGAGAAAGCCTCGTACAAAGATTTATTTCGGATCCGAGCGCGGGTTCGACCTCGACCGGATTTTGCAACGAGTTAAAAAGTTAGGAGTCTATCGACATGTTGGGACTCGCGACACACTGGCGCGAGAACCCTCGAGTTTTTGGCAGCCGATCGACTCTCGATACGCTTCCTATGAAATAAAAGAAGTAGTAGCCCCCGACCTTCTCCTTAACGACTTCTTGCTTCCTGCCTCGAATTCTTGCCAGAGAAATTCTATCGGTCTCCGTACCACGGCTTCCTACCACGAAAAAAAAAGGAAAGAAACGGAAATCAGCCTTTAAAATGATACGGGATCGCGTGTGTGTGTTTAAACAAGACTCGTTGTATATTTGGGATAGACTTTACGAAGTTTGCTCGATTGATCGTTCGTTAGAGACGCCAAATCTGTCAAAACAATTGCTTTTTCTTCCTCCTCCTCCTCCTCTTCTTCTTAGTGGAATCGAAATTGAATTTTTATCGTCATCGAAAAAATTTTTATTACTTTTTTTTTTCGCATCATAAATTCGAGTTAAACTCGAGGAAAGATAGGAAAGCGTTCGTCCGTCATCGTGATCGCAGAAAGCGATCCGAGAGCTTATAGATTTATTTTGGTCGGGGCGCGAAGCGAAAGAATTCGCGCGGTTTATTTCTGGCCCCGCGCGAAAAAGGCGCCGCTTCCAATTTCCACAATTTATGAAAACAGTGCGCTTCTCTCTCGAAGACTGGAACGCTGCTCTTTACAAAGACGGAAGGAGCGAAGTTGGAGAGGAAATTCGGGGAGGACCTCTTCTCGTCCTTGCTATGGATACCTCCCCTCGAAGGGGGAAAATATTTGGGGAGGGGAAAGGTAAACAGCGGGCCGCGATTCATCATCGTTTGCCTGGCCGGAACGAAAGCAACGCTTTCCCCGAAAAGCGGAGACGCCAAACGAATATTTCGAGGAGCGAGAATTCGCGGTTCGAAGAACTCGTAACGAAGGATAGCTCGGAAATTTTCGAATCAACGAATGATCGAAACCGGTTTCCAACTAATTACATCCCGATGAAATATCTTTCGATTTTCGACCTCCAACAGAGCTGTCTCAGAGCTCCTCTTTCTCCAACTTTACGAGCATCCCTTCCCTATTCCGCGTGGAAGAAGGAGTGGGGGATATCGTGACAGGTGGCGGCGACAGTCGGAATTTTATCGAGCGAGGCGACTTCTTCTTGGGCCGGGTTCTGGGGCGAGCAACAGGTGTTGGAACTACGCGGGAACGTGTAAGACGTGAATATCGAGATGGAGGAAGAACCGATCGAGGCAAGGATCGAAGCGAAGGAGGCGAGCACGGTGTGACTCGAATACGTTGGCTGGTCGGCGGACAAAAGACAGGAAGTAGCGGCACGATCGAGGGGGAGGAGTCCGGTTATAGGCGGCTCAACGATGAAAACTCGTAAATTAATTCCGAGTTTGGCGCGTGAGGAGGAGAAGGCGACACGATGGAGCCTCGCTTAATCACACACACACTCGCGCGCGCGTAACACGTTCGTTGTGCCTCGTAAATTAGTCGAATGAACGTTTCTCGATCGACTCGATACGCTATATGGTGATGAAAAACGCGAATCGAGACGAAATGAAAAAGGTGAGGATCAAAAACGAAGGGAAACGACGAGAATAGGCGGCGGAAGCGCGGTTTCTTAACGAGCGAACGATACAAAAATAACGGGGATCGCCCCTTCGAGGCCTTCGAGCGTTATTTACATAACGATATCTCTCTCTCTCTCTCTCCATCCTTCCTCGAATAATCTTTCTCGATTCCCGACCGAGTATCGGAATTCTATTTCGAGGAGAAACGATTTGGGGAGGAAGCAAAAAACTCAATACGTTCTTGAACTTGGGAAAGAAAAAGTCTAGTTTCATCCTGTTCTCGATTTCGATTGAAATATCATTGTCAGCTATCTATCTCTGTTGACGAATGTGTATTTGACAATTATCCGTTTCTTCCTTTTGAATATCGTCAATCCTCGTCGCGTTGGACAAACTAGGTTCAGCGAAACACGGGAAAAGCTTCGTTCCTGTCGTTGAACTGTCGAAGGAGAAGGAAGCAGCAAGTTGGAGGAGGAATTCGTTCGACGCATCATCGAGGCGGCCGCTCGTGACTCGCGTCGGTCCCGCGATTTAAACTTAGAATCGTAGAAGCGAATCGTTGCGAAGAGGTTTCTCCACCCACCGGGAGAAAATAGAAACGATATAACGCGCACGTGCTCGGTGTTAACGTGCATCGTGGTATGCCATTGATAACTTTTGTCTCTCTTGGCACGCGTTATCTCCTCTCCGTTCGACGGAAAGAACGACGGTCGCGAATATTTCCAAACAGATTTCAATTGGATTAAATTCAGGAAAATTGAGATCGAATCTCGAAGAGAGTGAATAATCATCGAGGACAGGGGAGGAACGTCTTAATTTCTATCTTAATTGAATCGTTTTTAGGAACGGTTCCTTCCGGGAACAGGCGAGGGATTCTATTCGTAACGCGCCCCCTCTTCTTCTCGAGGAGAGAAGAAACTAACCAACTGTCTTGATAACCTCTTCTTATTCTTTTGTGCCCCTTTTTTCAAGGGACTACGACTTTCGCTCTTACAGCGCCGCTCAGATTGGTGTGGGCCAGCAAGGGGGAGGACGTGGAACTGCCATGCGACATTACACCACCGACCCCCAACGACTCCGTGAACATGGTGCTCTGGTTCAAAGACACCGCAGGGATACCTCTTTACAGGTAACGACCTCCTTTTCGTTCCACTCTCATCTCATGCCTCCTCCTCTTCTTTTTATCCCTTCGTTACACGGTATAGTATATGGTTTGTTTCATCCAGGCAGAGGGTAAAAACATCCCTCACGGGACGCATACAGCGCTTCCTGGTCCCACGCGGAGAAGGATCGTCGTGTAACGCGAGCGGGTAACGATATCCGCGAATGCCATTGTTCTGAGATCGCGTCTCGAAATATCTCGGGTCAAGCCCCCCCGAAATAGGGTTGCCGCCATTATCTTCCTCTCTCCTCTCGCGGTTTCTTGGAAGGTTTCAGCGATTAAAATTATCGAACTCTTCCTCCCCGCCCCCCTTTTTTCGGGTCGCGAGCAGGATCGATAAATAAACGCGGAGGTATCTCTTCGACACGAATCGGTAATTTTCGGAAATAGATTGACAAATGACGCGCGTAAATAACGATGTATTCCCGTTCCGTTTATTTACGAACGGGAGTTGTAAGTTTACCCGTAAAACGGTTACGAGATATCTGGCCGAAGGATGTTCCTAGGAAAAAAAAAAAAAAATACAAACACGTGGCCTCGAAAACTATAGGATAAAAAAGAAAGAAAGGAGCGTTACACGAAGCAGGTGGCTCAAACATTTTACGAGTTTTTACCTCTTCTTTTTCTCTCTCTCTCTCTCTTTCTTGGTCGCAAGAGAGAAGCGCGGGAAAGTGGCGGCGCGATTCTTGGAAGGGAACTCTGGGATCGATTCCCCTGCTCGCGGAGGAGATTTCCTCCTCGACATTGCGTAACGGTCAACTTCGTTCGAATCTAAATCCGCCTAGCGCTTGCTTGCCAACTATCCTTTTTTCCCTCCGCAAATAGACGCGCGTGCTAGAGTTAGTCACTAGAACTGGGCAGAGGGTCCAGGGTCCGGTGTTTACCACCTCCTTTTAATCCCGGAAACGTCAACCCGCTCGATCGTTGACTCGCGCGCGACACGAGCCAAGAATTTCGGGCCGCTGATCGGGCCAGGATCCCTCTCCCCCTGGGTGACCGGGTAACCTCGCTTTCTTCGATCTTGGGATCCCGTCGAGAGGGAAACTAAACTTTTCTATCTTCATCCTCGTTCGAACGACAATATACAGTGGTAGAGACTCCCGTAACCGAAATGGAACGATTACTTTCTTTCAAACTTTGTTTACTTGAGTAGAAACGAACAAGATCAACGGTTTCTTTCGACGTCTAAGGATCCAACGTATCTTTTTCAACCGCAAAGTCGTAAATTTTTTATCGTAAGCAGCTGCGTGGAATTACCTGCTTATCTTATCTTTAATGATCTTGTGTTTCGCTACCCTACGTTTTATTATTATATATACATGTATATTTACATGTACACATATATATATATTTTTGTATTTTATTTTTCAAAATTTTTTTACTAAAACGGCGAGTTTTCGTTTATCCGCCACTGCGATACCGGTCGAACACGGCCGAAAATATTCGTTACGTCTGAATATATTGTATATTTACGTTGTGATCCAAGATACAAGGAACAGACTTGAACAATAGAAGATCATCCGTACATCAGGATAACGAATCTAACGTGTTAAAATAGCGTTTCGCCCTCGAGAACGATGGCATCGAAGTTTTCGAAAATGGAAATGGAAAAGTTTCTCGATCTCTGCGCAGCTTGGACGCGAGAGGCAGGGATCTCGCCTCCGCCATTCACTGGGCGGTCAGCGACGATCTTGGGAAGAGGACCTACTTTCAAATCGGGAACGGGCATCAGGCGAAGTTGAAAGTGACCAAGGTCACGTACAAGGACCAGGGGGTCTTCAGATGCAGGGTGGATTTTATAAATTCTCCGACGAGAAACTTTCGCGTGAATCTGACTCTCGTCGGTGAGTACGAGATCTCACTCCTTCTCCCTCTATTTCCTATTAATGGTCGAACGAGATCCCGTTTTCAGAGGAGCCATCCAGGCCTGTGATATACGATGCTCAAGGGCGAGAGGTGACAGGGGTGGGCGGCCCCTTCTTGGAAGGCTACAACCTCGCCTTGATCTGCCAGGTGTCCGGAGGTTAGACTCGTCCTTCCTTCCTTCCTCGTCCACGATCGCTTCGACTTCGCTCTAACTTCCCTCCCCTTTCTTTCTGCCCCCCGCAGGAAGACCGAAGCCTGCGGTCACGTGGTGGATGGACGGCGAGATATTGGACGGCGTGGACGACACCCCGCACGTCGGCTCTCCGAGCAGCAAATTCACGGAGAACCAACTTTTCATCGCGAACGTGACGAGATCGTTGTGGGGCAAGAAGCTGGAGTGCAGGGCGCAGTCGCCCCCCATGTCCTCGCCGATCGTCCGTGAAGTCCCCCTCGACATTTACCGTAACTATAATCTAACTGTTAATTTCGACTCCTCGAACGAGCGTTTCGAAGAAATTTCCACATCGCGAATAAGCGCACGTGGGAACGAAACAGAAGAACGACGAACACGCGTGCCTGCCAAGGCCGCTTTTTTTCGATCTCACCACGCGCGCTACGATCGTAAACGCGCGAGATCGTCGTTGTGGAACGACTCTTTTTTCCCCCTCCCTTCCACTCGTGTATCGACGAGCACACTGCTCTGTGTAACTGTGTGCGGCGCGTACACCGCGAAAAACCGCAGGAACGCGTGCGGCTTCTTAAACTGTTGCGTAAGCCGATCGTATTTCTCGCGGGGAGCGAATTCTTTTTCCTTTTTTTTGGGGGGGGAGGGAGGGGGAAGGGGAGCGCACGAGAACGGCTTCCCAAAAAAAAAAGAGAAGAAACTTTCGGCCGGACATCCTGCGCGGGAAGGAATAATATATCGAGACTGTTATTCATCCGAATGTCCTGCGACTACTGTGTGTCGCCTCGAGAAGAAAGAAGTTTAAATATAGAAGTTTAGCGAGCGGAAGCGAGATGAATTCCAACGATTTCGCGCGGTCCTCTCTCCCTCCTTTTTAACTCCTTTGACGGCCGTGCTTCGTGGAATTGCCGTCCCAAAGTAAAAATACGCGGATTTCGGGTGTGGAGCATGTGGGGCTCCCCCGGTTATTTTCGAGGGGACTCGGTCTCCAATTTTTTCCAACCCCCTTCGTGAGTGTAATAATTGGGACGAAGGTGTGGACTTTTTTCTGGCTTCCAGTGAAACCGGCGCTCGTGAAGATCGTTCTTACGGAGGAGCAGATCTACGCGAATCGGCCGATCACGGCGCGTTGCGAGACGTGGGGGAGCTCGCCCGCGGCGAGGGTGGTGTGGAGGCTGGGCAGGCAGGTGATAGGCGACTCGAACGTGTCCACCACGCAGAGGAGCAATTCCACGGTCAGCAAGCTGCCCCTGATCCTCGGCAAGGACGACAACGGCAGGAAGTTGACTTGCAGGGCCGAGAATCCGAGATTCCCCGGCGGGGTCCTCGAGCGAACCGAGATCGTGGACGTTGCCTGTGAGTTGCCTACCGCACAGCATACCCACACACGTGTCTCCCCTCCTCCATTCATTTCCTTCGCTTTCGTCAGACGGGCCGGTGGTGTCGGTCGATCTGGCGACCGGCTACGTTCTGGACACGCTGAGGGAGGGCGACGACTTGAAACTGGTGTGCGACGTGGACAGCAACCCGCCACCGACCGCCATCGTTTGGTATCACAAGGTAAGAGGAATCAAATTTCTCACCGAGAGCGGTGCCAAGGTGAGATTCGAGCGTTTTGCAGGACAATCGATTGGCGCACGATGTGGCCGGCGGCACGTTGATAGCCTCGAACACGTTGACGTTGAGGGTGCTCACGCTGGCCCACGCGGGCGAGTACTCGTGCCAGGCGATCAATTTGGTGGGGGAGGGCCGCAGCCCTCCGATCTCGGTCCGCATGAAATGCAAGTAGCGTTCGATCCACCGAATTCTTCCTTCCCCGATCGTTGCTACATGCGTTTTCGTTACGTTTTCCAGATGCACCGAGGTGCAGGCCGGGCTACGAGAGGCGCGAGGTCACAGCTGGTCGTTACGAAACGGTGTCGCTGCGTTGCGAGGTCGACTCGGTGCCCAGGGACGGCGTGAGGTTCTCGTGGACGTACAACGGGACGCTTGGCGACGTGTTGCCGATGCCCAACTCGAAAGCTCGGAGCAACGGGCTCGTTAGCGTGCTCGAGTACACTCCCACCGTGGACACCGACTTCGGGACTCTCGCCTGCTGGGCGAGCAACACGGTCGGCAGACAAAGGACGCCTTGCGTGTTCAACGTGGTCGCTGGAAGTACGTGTTTTGAAACAAGTCGATCTAATTAATCCTTCTTTTCGGATTCGTGCGAAAAAGTTAATTTCGATGGAAAATAGAGGACGATCCGTCTGAGGGAGCGGTTATAAATTCGCAGAGCCACCGCAGCCGCCGTCCGACTGTTCGCTGCACAATGAGACCACCTCCCTCGAAGTGAATTGCGTCCCCGGCGCGGACGGTGGCACGCCGCAGTACTTTTTGCTGCAAGTTCGGGGGATACCGAGGGATGGCCCGGTCCAAGCCACGCTGCACGCGCCTCAAAGCGACCAGGGGACGGTCGGCGGTGGGGGGGAGGCGCCGCCTGTATACCAAGAGAGGAATCCAAGGCCGAATTTCCAGATACGGGGCCTCGAGCCAGGCTTCGATTACACTTTGTACGTGTACGCGGTGAACGGGCAAGGGAGGAGCGAGCCGGCTCTATTGGAGAATGTGAGGGTCGGCGGGGCTATAGGCGAGAAGGTGGAGAGGGACGGCCTGTTCCTCGAGGATCTGAAGAAAGCGCTGCCCGAGAGCAGCCCCGAGAATATGATCATCGTGGTCGCCTTGACAGGTACAGGTAATTAGATCGATAATCAGAGAGTAGGTATTTTCAGTTGGCATCCTTATAATGCGTTTTAGATGATTTGATCCAGTGCAGTGGTTCTCAACCTTCTTTTTTGGAGGGAGGAGGGGGGAATTTTAAAATAATTTAAAAATTTGGCGGCTAATCATGAGATGAATTAAAAGAATTTTATTTTTGGTTCGTCGATCGATATGCCTATAATATATTTTGTGAAATTAGCGTATGTATCGGCAGGCAAGGAAGGGGCAAATTTTATACGTATAAAAAATTTGGAGAAATAAATTATACCACAACATATTCTGCATCCTGTAAAATATACTACCTCTTCGGTCGAAACGATCGAATAAATATTTGGATTGAATATCAATCGATAAAGAAATTTTCATTTCGATGGAGGCCTGCCACACTAATTATGAGATAAATTAAAAGAATTTTATTAGATATACTTATGATATATTTTGTGAAATTAGCGTATTCATAGTGGCCAGACTCGTAGCCAGGATTTTTTTTAGGAAAGGGATAATTTTGTAGGTATATATACATATAAGAAATTCAGAAAAATAAATTATCACATTTTGTAAAATGTTATCTCTTTGGTTCAAATGATGGAATAAATATTTGGATTGAATATCGATCGATAAAGAAATTTTTATTTCGGTAGAGACCACTAATAACGAGATAAATAAAAAGAATTTTATTTTGGTTTATCGATCGATATCATCGTATACCTATAATATATTTTGCAAAAGTAGCGTATTCGCAGTGGCCAGAATTTTTTTTAGAAAGGAAATTTCGAATCGAGGCGAAAAATTTCAACGTCCTGTAATTTTCGTTCTCCGCTTTTTGAAGCGACGTAGAAAAGTAAAAGTAAAGAATGACCAACTACGCGTGTAGAATAATAAACGATATGGAAATTCTAACGAAGGATATTTCCGAATCTAAGGTGCGGTCGCTTTGATCCTGATCGGCATTGGCGTGATCATCGGGTTGGCTATCTGTAGGAGAAGGAGCGGATCACCGGCGAAAGACGGGCCGGACGATTTTACCATCCCCACCTACGTTTCGGCTCAAAGGATCGAGCCAAGGATCAGATACTCGGGCGACGGCAGCAGACGCTCCCAAAGAGCGAGCTTGTACGTCGAGGAAAATCGAAACGGTAAACCTTTCTCTCTCTCTCTCTCTCTCTCTCTCGTTTCTCGAATCATGAAAAATTATTCGAAATCCATCGCTTGTTTTTCCAGAGCCTGACCTCCTGCAGAGAGTCGAGATCGACGTACACGATTAACGATTTACTCTTCCGTAGGAGTTAAAGGAAGAAAGGACTATGCGATGATATCCATATACGTGTATTATATACGCTTTTCGCGATGTGTATATAACAGGTGTCCATTTCCCTTAAAAAAGTTAATTTAAGTTGGTAAGAGATAGGCTGGATTCACGGTGACCGATGATTTTACACAATTCCTGTACCTGTTCTTTTATCGATCGATTTAAAACGCGACGAGCTCTGTTATTTCGTCTCTCTCTAATCCACGTGCCTTCTCTTCTTTTTCTTCACAAAGAAAGTATTGTAACCAAGCTTGCCGCTTCGCGTTAAGTGTACAAAGTGTTTCCTTTCGGTCTCATCACGTGGAAACCCCACGCGTACTTTAATATCCGCCTGCGAATCATCTAGGAACCGAAACGCTTATGTAATTGTGTAAATAGCGTTTATAAAAAAAAGGAAGGAAAAAAAAAAACACCGACGTTGTATTATTAGCGATAAAAACTAGGAAATAAATTTTTACCAAATATCGAGCCTGTCTTTTCGACGCGCGTGCTATATACGTGCCACACTCCGAGGAGAACAAATTGTTTTTAAACCAAAACGCAAAACGATCCCGATACCGGATGTTTCGATGCGCTATCGACTGGTAATAAAAAAAAAAAGAAAAAAAAAAGGAGGAGAGAAAAAAAACGATCGTTTGACCATCCGCGCGATACATCCGGCGAAAAATACAACGCGTATGTCGCTTCCACCTTCCATAAACAATTTTCCAAAAGACCGTAACTTTTGCCCCCGATACGACTTCCCTGTGTCTGTGTGTGTTCAACGAAATACGAGACGGAGATCGAGAAAGAGAGATCTTTCTCGATTTCATCGGGAAGTTGTGTTGATTTAAAACATGGCTCCATCGTTTGCCGCGATACCGGCAACTCGAATGGCGGGTAAACACTATTGGCCCAAGTTTCCAGATGTCCCGCCGAAGGCGCTGGCGAACAATCTTGGCGCTCGATCCGAGGCAGCCTGTTAGAATTAGCTGGGACTCGATCCCGAGCGGGTGGTACAGGTATTTCTTTTTATAGATGAATTTTGGAAAGTGTTCGAGAACACGTGCATCGAGCCCCGGATTCACTCGCTTTGACGAAAAGGTTGATGGAATATTCGATCGCGTCCCGTTTATGCGTTATTTACGCGCAATCTGGCATAAATGTAGCCTGCTAATAAACTACAACCAGCGAAATTACCAGCGAAATTACCATCGCGCGTTGTTACGAAACTCCTCCGTTATATTCGAAATAAACGAAAGTGGGGAAAAAAAGGGGGAGGATTAGATGGATTGGTGGAATTTTCGAAAAATTTCCAGCGCACGAAAGAAACTCATTCGGGAAGAGTTTTGTAGAGCGACTGTACGCGCAGGTATAAAGTGAATGAGCGATGTAAAATTTACAATTTATAATGGACGCGAATATAACGGATCCGCCGCTCGATCCCAATTATCCGACAACGCACGGTTACGCCGTTATCTATTCATATCAAGCGTAACCGTGGATGATGCAATTACAAGCGAATTTATTAATTTACACGCAAATGCGAGGCATCGTTTCATCATTCCTCACGAATTAAAGGATCGATCGAATGGGCAGAGAGAGAGAGAGAGAAAAAATATTGAATGATTTCTCGATCGAACGGCCGCTACTTTATATTCGACGCGTCATCGACGAAACGCGGGGAGGGAGAAGAGAGGGAGAGGAGGAGGGGGAGGGAGGGGGGGGGGAGATGGTCGATTGCTCGAAACTTCATCAACGTCGCGATAATCGTGTCGTCGATTGCGTCGACAGATATTCTATTTTCGGTGAATTAGTTGCCGCCCGGCGACAACCAATTGCGCGAAAAATTCAATTATCATTGCCGACGTAATCGATTTACAGATTTGCCCGCCGCGTTAAACCGTCGTAACCGTCAATCGCCCCCCTCCCTCCTTTGCCCCTCGTGAAACGGGGCGAGGAATAAAGGAAACGTGAGATCTTATTTTCTAGGGAGCGGACAAATGGGGAGGAGATGGTTGCGTGTTACGGAATAATTAGGTTATACTTTGCCAAGAGAAGAAGGGCTTTCAGGTATTATCGTTATCATTTTCCACCACCCCTCTCCAGAGTCGAGCAAAGCGTCCAACGATTTTTCACACCGTATTTAACACGCAGTGCCAAAAGTGTACCACGGTGTGCTCGAGAAAGATGGTTGCTTTGACGGTGTTTATTATTATGAAAAAAATAATCCAGAAAAAGATACTCGAATCGATTACCTCGACCTTTGAAAAGGATTCCAAGTTTTCTCGAAGCAACGAGAAGAAGAAGAAGAAGAAGAAGGAATCGCTCCTTAGACTTAATTTCCTCTCGGTTCTTAAACTTGAATGAATTTAATTAGAGGTGAATGGTGCGGACAATATTCAACATTGTCGCCCCCGATCTTTTGGCTGATTATTCATCGGGGAATTGTCATCGGCGAAAGGGAGAAAGACAACGTGAAGTTGGGGTAAAAAGTGTTTTCAACCTGTTCGGTGCGCAAGTTCGAGAGGATTTATGCCCGCCCCCTGCGGGGACGCGTGCGATTTACTTTTACAAAAGGGAGGAGGGGGGGGGGTGGTGTTTTATTTTATTTCGAATCGAACAACGGTAATATAAACGACAGTTTTAGTTAACCGGTTTAGTTTAGTTAACGATAACGGGTTATTAATTATCCCCAGTTATCGTTGCATCGAAGAAAATTAGATAGATAATTTACGCACGCGTTACGATACAGTTAAATAATTCATAGTAATTTCGCGAATGATACAATTTTGTAACGCTAAGAATAACGCGTGTACAAAGGTAAGTTTATGGTTAAACCGTTATTAGAGAGAAATTAATTACGGTTCGGCGAACATCGAAACACTGTTCACATTTCTCGCTGCTAAATTGTTACAAATCGTACGAAATCGTTGATCGAACAAATTTCAATTTCAATTTCAGCATGGATCCTTATTGTTCGAAATTATCGATTAAATAACTTTCTAACTGCGATTTCCTTGGAATCGGATAAAGGGGAGGGGAAAAATTAGAATTACACTTACCCCTCCTCAACTTTTGGCCAAGATTGTACGCATAATATAAACGATCTCGTTAATTTATTTGCGCCCCATGGAGCAGAAAATTTAATATGGAATAACGTATAATAATTTTAATTAACGTAACGGTAATTATAAAACGTAATTACATACGTAAATAGCATCGACGATTAAGTGTGCTCGATATGCAGTGTTAAATCGATCGATATGCAATAACGTGTAATATTAAGGCTCGGAGAGAATATCGATTTTACCGGCAACAGAACGATTAGAAGAAATTTATATATCGAAGAAATCATTCCCTTTCAGAACTCCAGCAAACTCCAATCTTTATTAACACGTGTATGTATTCAAAATTTCCTTCTAGAAATGAAAGGGAGAAAAAGAGGATTGACGAGTTCGAAATACGCATTTCTACGAGGCATAGATGTTATAGAATACAAAATTCGCTGAAATTTTATTTATAATTTTATTACTGAACAGCAGTATTACTATTTCATATTTTGATATCTACTTGTTCATCTTTGACACCCACTCTTCACTTTGTAAACATTTTGTACGCGCAATTACGTATAATTAAAATATATTCATTCAGCTAAATCCGTATATTTTATTTATCACTGCGTAACCAGTCAACAGTTCGAAACCAATCTCTATTAACACGTACATGTTTAATAAGAACGCGAAATATGTTACACTAAAAATTCATTAAAAATGAAATATGCATTTCTACGAGTCGGCGATCTTCCAATCTTTATCAACGCGTATATGTTCGATAGGAATCGAAATATGTACTCGAAATTCCTTAAAAATAAGAGAGAGAGAAAAAAAGAGAATTGACGAATTCGAAGTATGCACTTCCAGAGACGTATTGCAAAGTAAATCGTTCGTCGTCGACTTTTATCGCATTTTCTTTCACGTTCAACACCGATTTCGAGCAACGTATTCGGCCGAAGAAAAAGATGGCGCGAATCAGAATCGGCGCCAATCCCGTAATTTGTTCCGCGACCCGATTCCCCCAAGATTTAGCGCGGTTTAATCCACCTGTTGGCCAAATAAATCCACGATTCCCGCTCTCTCTAACTTTTTGAATTTCGTCTCGCCGTGCGACGCTAAATCTTCGACCGTTCTCCTTCCTTCCTTCGTCCCTCTCCTCTTCGATTCGACTCGACGCGAAGAAATTACGAAAATCGATAACAACTACAAGAACAACAATAATAATAATAATTACAGGATGAATAACAAGCGAGAAATTTTAAGACGCAGTTACAATCTCTCGTCAAACGAAAGATATATTCTCGTCTCTAAAAAACGGTGAGGTAAGATTCGAGCGCATTCGTTTCACGCGTTTATCGAATTCCTTCTTTCGATTATTCGCGCGCGAGGGAAAAAGTTGGGAAACGATTGATCGACCAGTTCGAACGACGCAATTACGTTACGTTAATTAATCCAGCCTCGCTACTTTCGCCGTTTGCCGACGACGCCCCGAGCTCTTTTAATTCGAAGGCACCCCGATGAAACGGAAATGAGTCACCTTGCTTCCCGTTTGCACAAGATTTCACGCTGAATTTACGAATCCCCCGCCGATGTCAGGCCAGGCAACCTCGTCCAATATCTTGCTCCCTCGAGACAAAGGGAGGTGGAGGGGGATCTCTTTTTCCTCGAGGGTGCAAAATTTCACTCCCGTGGCACCGTGTAAAAGGATTGGAAAGTTTCGATTCCTCCTCTGTCTCGATCGAATTGATCGCGGGCAATTAATAAGGGAGGCGAGGAGGGTGCCCTCGCTCCTCAGACTTGGAGCGAAACATTGAAGTTTCGGTTGGAAAGAAACTAGGCCGAGATTTCAGGCATCGATACCGAAACTTGGACACGCCTCTGTGCCGCGTTTTCCCACATCCAGTCGGTGAGCGAAGAATCGGATAGTCGCAGAAATTTCAACGAAGAAATTCAATTACAAACGTAAGAGAAATTTTGCGCGAAAAATTGGAAAATTTGATCGTCGATCGATCTCTTCCTCCAACTTTTTTTTAGTATAGTAGAATCGAATAGATATTGTTCTTTTCGATGAAACGAGAAAAACAAGGGTTGCGTTGTTCTCGAGGTTGCGAGAGCCAACACCTTTCACGGATTTTTACGGAATCATCGTCGGTTGGAAGAGGACAATGTAAGGATAATCGACACGATCTTTCTCCTCGTCACGCTGGCGCCGAGCAAATATTTGAAGGGATCCCTCGTTTCCCGATTCGATTTGAATCCGTCCCCTCATCGCTTTCTTTCTCTCTTTCTTTCTGTCCTCCCCCCCCTCTCCCCCCCCTCCGAGATATGATCGACGAGTGGAAAACTGCCGTCTTAGAAAAGGGAAACTGGTTGCA